TAGAGCCTGGCACTTAAGAAATAAGCACAGTACGTTAACTAGCCCCTATTTACATAGTAATCAGTCTCATTTCAAGAGTAGTGACTGTCTCTTATACACATCTAGATGTGTATAAGAGAATAATATAATATAATATAATATAATATAATATAATTTAATTATAGTGTGTATAAATAACATTCGATTTACTTTTAGACCTATATGGAAACCACGGAGTTCACCGATAAAATTAACATAATTCGATGAAAATGAAACAACTATATTTTGTACTCTATTTGCTCATCAACGGGAATTATTCCTGAAAATGAACGAATGACGTTGAAATTTAAGATGGCTTTTCACTACTTTTCAATTTTTGTTACTAATATAGACCCAATATAAAAAATATATTAGGTCTATCATTAAAAATAAACAAAATTAACTTGTATAGTTTCTGTCATTGTGATAACATTTCAGTTCGTACCTTAATTTAGCCTAAAGTATTATAATCAACCTGTTGAAGCGGTGGTTTGTGAAATGGAATCAACATTTTTTTTTTTTTTTCTTTTTATTCTTTTCCAATCTCGTTCAATAACAGTAAACACATTATTTATAAACGACTTATATAATTAATAAGAAATACATAACGATTGTATGGTTCTCCATACAGTACAAATACAAAGGTAAGTTCATTTAGAAGGACTGTGCACACTGTTCATCTGTTACAGTACAGCGCTAATGCTAAGCTGTTGAGTGAATGTCGGTGTGCTTGATTTACCTTCAATGGGCCTATAACACATGGGAACTTAACTTAGGATTAACAATGAATGTAACCTAATGATACTGTTGTTGAACTTGTTATGTAACCTATTAATTATTTATCATTACCAGTAGGCTATCAGAAAGTATAATACATACTCCAAGTATTGAAATACACGCCATCGTGTTGGGATTCAATATTTCGGCATTAATTATGTCATCATCAGGAATGTCGAAATATTGAATCCCAACACGATGGCGTGTATTTCAATACTTGGAGTATGTATTATACTTTCTTATCTGAGATTAATCAGTGGACCTTTCGGTTTTTCAGTAGGCTATCATTATTATCATTATCATTATTAATTGACAACTAAACCTGATTAGTGTCAACTACAAATAATAATAATAATAATAATAATAATAATAATAATAATAATAATAATAATAATAATAATAATAATAATAATAATAATAATAATAACAACAATGATAATAATACTAATAGTAATTATTATTATTATTATTATTATTATTAATTACTATTATTATTATTATTATTATTATTATTATTATTATTATTATTAATATTATTAGCATTATGTTTGACAAGCCTATCGTTTTCTAAATTAATCCACTTGTCATTTTAGGCCTACTTCTGTTTGTTTGTTCTATTTTTTTTTTTTATTAGAGTATATTTATTTATTCATTCGTTTATTTAATTCCAATCACTTCATCTACAAAGAGTAACACAAAGTATACAGTAGCCTACTACAGTACTACATACAGTACTACGTATTACCGAGTTTATGAGGGGAAAATTATTAATATAAATTTTCTAGTTTTCTGGCAACCATACGTCCGCGAATCGAAACTGACGAGGCCGCCGCCATGATGAAAACTGTACAGTAATTGTCGTTTAACGGTGGGATTTCGCTTATTTACATTCTTTAATTTTGAAGATTAAATAAGGTATATACGTACATTATTATACAAGTTGAATACTATAGTATTCAGAGTATTATTATGAATGATTATATTTGTGTAGTTCACAAAAATCTTTGTTGATTCGATCACGGTTACAACTTGTTTGCCGAACAAGGATAGGGCTATGCCTAGGCTTAGGCCAAGGTCTAGCTAGGTTGGTGGTAGGACAGGAGGCTAGGCCTGCGGTCTGCCTAGCTTGCTTAGCCTCTGTTGTATTATTGTGTAGGGCTAGCTGTGTAGGCCCCAGCTTGACCGAAACGGTTGTTTTCTCTATGTAGTAGTTAAGAGAGGTAGGCAAACACGATATTGAGCGTTTGATAGTTTCTGATCCTACTCATCAAGATCCAATTTTAAGACATTTCAACCCCCCCCCCCCTCGCTCGGGCTAAAAATTGCGCCCCCACCCGAGCCGAGAAATGTTGGGGTAGGACTGTTTCGGCCACGATGTATGGAATGCATTTTGTATTGCATGTTTTCAGTCAATTTGATTCAATGAAAGACTATTAAATATCCTATCTGTAGTATTAATTACTGATTATAACATAATAAATATGTGTGTTGATAATATTAATAAAGACCATGGAAAGGCAAAACAAAATGTTTTATTTGTGTCACTTCGACAATGATGGTAGACCAGGCCAGGCATAACATACAATAAAGGAGCATCATCCCAAATTTAACAATTTAAAAATATCGCAGCTGGTAACTGATATACAATTAATCCTACCATATTTATTTAAGATGTAAGCATATTGTATAAGACAAACAAAACTTGTTTGGTTTCCAGATTTTTGGGTGTTAAATACATCATGGCCAAATAGGTTCACGGACGAATCTGATGGTATTTCATGCATTTGCTATATTCCTCTTGATATACCCAGTACTATTAAGCATTTTGAAAGTGATCTTTTGAGGCATGTCTGTAACACTTGGAAATCCTTTTAACTTTGTATGCGAACATCATTAAAAGATGGCTCACACAGCCTAGGAAAATTGAAATAGAAATCCTCAATTATTATTGCTACCAAAAAAGAAACTTCGCTATTATTTCAAGGCAAGATTTGGTCTGCGGCCTGTTTATTGAGAACCAAGGATACAGTATATCGTAATTGGATTGCAGACCTTTTCTGTTAATTGAATTATCCTTTTGTTTTCCAGTGCTTTACCAAGATGTCAAAGAAGGGGAACACATTGACATTCTGGGGTAATGAAGCCACCATGAATCTTAATAGTCTTGTGCTTACTAATATACAATCATCTCCCTATTTCAAGAATGGATTAATCAAACTCAAAACTTATCATGAAGTTATTGATGAGATATATTATAAGGTTGGTAGAGTTTATTTTTTGTGAGGTTATATATTGGCCATACATTATTATTATTATAAAAACATGTAAGTTTTGATCTTGAAGGGTATACTCTGCTTTCCATGTTTGATTCACAGTTATACTTTGGATGTTTTTGGTTTTAAATGTATTTTTTTTCAATGGCATGGTCATTTGTTTTATTTAATTTCTTCTTTTTAACATTGAAAAAAAGTAAATATTACATTTCGATTTGTGTCTGTGTCAGGAGAATATCATAGGAGTGAAGGTTTGCCCTACAGTTCCGGACGTGTTATTATACTGAATACTCAGTACGTTCCCAAATATTTGGGGAAAATAAATATTACATTGCAATACTATCTTTAAAAAAATGTACTTGATGTCAAAAACACAAAAATATCGGGACTCCCTATTTTTAGAATATAAAAAAAAAAAAATTGTAAGAAGTATCAACTACTGTAGGCCTACTTGCCAGTGTGATGAAGGGAATATTAGTCTGTAGTTCCCCAAGTATAATCCCACCTCCCCCATGAACGTGAAATTGGCCCGATTTTGGGGGGTGGTATTACAGTATACCCGGAGATTCCCTTGTGCATGAACAGAACGAAAATGATGATAATTTTGCGATGTGGCAGTTGCATTTCAACAATTGCAATACAATAGCCTATCAAAAACAATATTCCAGCGAAAAAAATCAGTCTTTACTCGAGCATCAAAGTAAGAGAACACCTTAATTGTAGTTTTCTTAGGCCTAGGTGCCTAGCTAGCTAGGCCATATCTTGGTCTTACATCGCGCTAGGCCAGCCCTTGCCTAAACTTGTTTTCTTGCATGATGTAAAGAGTTATTTTTAGCAGTGAATCTCTGTGGAACACGCGAGTCTTCACGCTGTGAATTAACGATCTGATCAGCCAACTGGGCGGGTCTCTTTAGGGACAAACTGCTGTATTGTCTATTTTTAGCTGCAGCTGTGGAACATGTGAGTCTTTACACTGTGAATTAAATAATTATGAGATCAGCGAAACAAGCAACATGCCGTGCCCTTCATGGTAAAGTCTTTAGGCCTACTGATTAAAATGTAACTTAAATATTTGTGTTAGTCTTGAGGTAAATAAACAGTACATTTGAAATTAGGTAACTCTTGTTTTTTATTTAAAGCATCAACCCCCCCCCCCCTCGCTCGGGCTAAAAATTGCGCCCCCACCCGAGCCGAGAAATGTTGGGGTAGGACTGTTTCGGCCACGATGTATGGAATGCATTTTGTATTGCATGTTTTCAGTCAATTTGATTCAATGAAAGACTATTAAATATCCTATCTGTAGTATTAATTACTGATTATAACATAATAAATATGTGTGTTGATAATATTAATAAAGACCATGGAAAGGCAAAACAAAATGTTTTATTTGTGTCACTTCGACAATGATGGTAGACCAGGCCAGGCATAACATACAATAAAGGAGCATCATCCCAAATTTAACAATTTAAAAATATCGCAGCTGGTAACTGATATACAATTAATCCTACCATATTTATTTAAGATGTAAGCATATTGTATAAGACAAACAAAACTTGTTTGGTTTCCAGATTTTTGGGTGTTAAATACATCATGGCCAAATAGGTTCACGGACGAATCTGATGGTATTTCATGCATTTGCTATATTCCTCTTGATATACCCAGTACTATTAAGCATTTTGAAAGTGATCTTTTGAGGCATGTCTGTAACACTTTTAACTTTGTATGCGAACATCATTAAAAGATGGCTCACACAGCCTAGGAAAATTGAAATAGAAATCCTCAATTATTATTGCTACCAAAAAAGAAACTTCGCTATTATTTCAAGATTTCAAGATTTGGTCTGCGGCCTGTTTATTGAGAACCAAGGATACAGTATATCGTAATTGGATTGCAGACCTTTTCTGTTAATTGAATTGTCCTTTTGTTTTCCAGTGCTTTACCAAGATGTCAAAGAAGGGGAACACATTGACATTCTGGGGTAATGAAGCCACCATGAATCTTAATAGTCTTGTGCTTACTAATATACAATCATCTCCCTATTTCAAGAATGGATTAATCAAACTCAAAACTTATCATGAAGTTATTGATGAGATATATTATAAGGTTGGTAGAGTTTATTTTTTGTGAGGTTATATATTAGCCATACATTATTATTATTATAAAAACATGTAAGTTTTGATCTTGAAGGGTATACTCTGCTTTCCATGTTTGATTCACAGTTATACTTTGGATGTTTTTGGTTTTAAATGTATTTTTTTTTCAATGGCATGGTCATTTGTTTTATTTAATTTCTTCTTTTTAACATTGAAAAAAAGTAAATATTACTTTCGATTTGTGTCTGTGTCAGGAAAATATCATAGGAGTGAAGTTTTGCCCTACAGTTCCGGACGTGTTATTATACTGAATACTCAGTACGTTCCCAAATATTTGGGGAAAATAAATATTACATTGCAATACTATCTTTAAAAAAATGTATTTCTTACTGAGACTCAAAATATGAAACAAGAGTACAGCAGACCTGCCAACCGTCCCAATTTAATCATGATTGTCCCGATTTCCGATGTCAAAAACACAAAAATATCGGGACTCCCTATTTTTAGAATTAAAAAAAAAAAAAAAAAAATTGTAAGAAGTATCAACTAGGCCTACTTGCCAGTGTGATGAAGGGAATATTAGTCTGTAGTTCCCCAAGTATAATCCCACCTCCCCCATGAACGCGAAATTGGCCCGATTTTGGGGGGTGGTATTACAGTATACCCGGAGATTCCCTTGTGCATGAACAGAATGAAAATGATGATAAATTTGCAATGTGGCAGTTGCATTTCAACAATTGCAATACAATAGCCTATCAAAAACAATATTCCAGCGAAAAAAAATCAGTCTTTACCCCAGCATCAACGTAAGAGAACACCTTAATTGTAGTTTTCTTAGGCCTAGGTGCCTAGCTAGCTAGGCCATATCTTGGTCTTACCTCGCGCTAGGCCAGCCCTTGCCTAAACTTGTTTTCTTGCATGATGTAAAGAGTTATTTTTAGCAGTGAATCTCTGTGGAACACGCGAGTCTTCACGCTGTGAATTAACGATCTGATCAGCCAACTGGGCGGGTCTCTTTAGGGACAAACCGCTGTATTGTCTATTTTTAGCTGCAGCTGTGGAACATGTGAGTCTTTACACTGTGAATTAAATAATTATGAGATCAGCGAAACAAGCAACATGCCGTGCCCTTCATGGTAAAGTCTTTAGGCCTACTGATTAAAATGTAACTTAAATATTTGTGTTAGTCTTGAGGTAAATAAACAGTACATTTGAAATTAGGTAACTCTTGTTTTTTATTTAAAGCAACTGTACAGGAATTAGGATATAATTACCATCTTACAAATTGTTTGGGGTGGGGGCGTGGCACCAATGAATAGCGTCCCTATATTTGATATTCGAATGTTGGCAGGTATGGTACAGTAACATAATCAAAATATTGCTGGTCATAGGAGTGAACAACAGGTGTTCAGTCTTCTTAAATTTCTCATCCTATATTATATCCAAACAAGAAAAATAGATAATTTGTTGAATACAGACACTCAAAGGATTACAGATTTATCTATGAATGAAACTGTAGGCTTTTTGTAATAAGGCTAGAATCTAATGTGAATTTATTATTGTTATCTACTCAGGTTGACCATCTTGAACCATGGGAGAGGGGGAGTAGACAGACAGCTGGACAAGTTGGTATGTGTGGTGGGGTAAGTAGCTGAATTTACAATAATAATTCTGTTTTGATCTGTGGTTTTAACTTCATTTTTTATGCTTCTTCGGTTCTGGCACTTGTTAGGAACTTCAAGTAAATAGAGTGATTGATTGATTGATTGATTGCATGTTTTTACTCAATGAAAAATGTTTTCTTTTTACAGTATAACTTGGCATATATTTCATTATATAGTGTGCCAAACCAATATGTATACAATAAACAACAAGTACTTGACACAATACTGTAACAGAAAAAAAACTAAGCTGTTTTGACTTTGTCAAGATCATGGTTTTCCATTTTGAAAAACCATATAAAATACATTTTAAGTGTCTTTGAGGATATCCACAGTTCTAGGGAATGGAAGTGGAGGGTTTGGATACCAGAGTTTCTTCCTCACCTCCTTCACTTATAATCTCATCTTTTAGTCTTAATCTTATTTTACAGGTACGAGGTGTTGGTTGTGGTGGTATTGTCTCCTCAGCCTACTGCCTTCTATTTAAGCTGTACACATTGAAACTGACTCGTAAGCAAGTGAATGGACTGTTGACACACACAGATTCCCCCTTCATTCGTGGGCTGGGCTTTATGTATATACGGTAAATTCAAGTGTTATACTTTATTATTATGGTCTTTAGTATCCAGGGAGTTCAATTTTGGTTGCTTGATACATTTAGCTAATTGGTTGAGTTAGTAGGCTTTGTGATATCCACTGCTAGATTTAAGTAATTAAAAGAATGATTTGAGACATTTACCCCTCATCTATGGACACATTATTCCCTTCCCTCCACACATAGTCCAGCCTTTTTCAAGTCTAGGTTTTCAAATCCAATCCAATCCTCGACTTATATTTTTTTCCTTTTCCTCTTTGTATACCATTTTTTCTCTTTGTTTCTACTTTTCGAGTACTCCACATATTAGAATAGCACATAAAGACACTGTATAAATGCGTACTGTCGCTAATGATTGTTAATTGAGTAATTATCATACTTTAAGAATGGGACAGTATTGTATGATTTAGTACAGTAAAGCCATAATACTTTCACTCAAAACTTGGTTAATAGCAGGGGCTGATTTGGGGGGGTGCTGGCCTGGCTCCCGCCCCCCTCCTTTTGGGAGGTAAATAAAAAAAGAAAAAAAGAAAGAAAAGAAAAAAATGATAGCCCACAACGCCTCAAATGTTATTTTCCGGCGTCTAGAACACAAAAATTTCACGGGGGAATGCCCCCGGACCCCGTAGGACATTGTTGTCTTGATCGCCCAAATTTCGGCCCCCCCCCCCTTTTGGACCTCTCTGGATCCGCCCCTGAATAGTATGTCGATTTCAGTATATGATTCATTTTAAAGCCTAAAATGTGGAAGAGAAAAATATATCAAAAATTCAATTTTCATTTTTTGGTCACTGATGCTAGTTTTTGGGGTGGCAAGTCTCATTGATGTGCTACACTGTGCTAAAATAATTGGTGATAGTAAGTGCTAATTGAAATTTTTGATTTGATAAAATGATTAGAATATATCCGTACTGTCTTACAGATACACTGCACCTCCTGCTGATCTATTTGACTGGTTTGAACCTTATTTAAATGATGAAGAGGTAAGTGGTTACAAATGATAGCTTTGCTCTCGCATACTTTATTACTAGTGAACTACCTATAATTGGTAGTAAATATAGAACAAGTGGATTAAATGAAAACATCTAGTTTTAATTCATATTGATGATATACATTTTATATGACACCAATAACGTGCTGATGTAAATATATACAAGACACCTTAAAATACAATTTGAGATATAAAATGATATTTTCTATATTGGTGCGTAAATTAGTAGTACAGTAGTGTAATAATGGCACATACACTGTACATCATTTTTCATTCAATCAATCAATGGATTTTTCTCATTTCTCCCCCCCCCATAATATAAACTATTATTATGACATCTTTACAATTACATCGATAATTGATTAAGTGAATTAACATTGCGACAGTAAATTTATCTAATTACCATCATATATTATATCAAGGCTCTAGTGTGAGGGATTTTGAAATTTTTTTTTTAGATTTAATAATAAATATATTCCAATATTTTTTTTTGTACAATAGTCCCACACCCCATCATTTTATTTGGTAAAAATATCTGCAGCTACTTTTAGTTAAATCTAAACCTACCCTTTGTTATATGTGAACAACCTGTGTCTGTCCCATTAATACATTTAAAACATCCGCAAAGTTACCCCTCATTGTACTTATACAACCTGAGGCTACCCCTCATTATATTTGAACTATTCCGGGCCAGCATTACAGCATCAAATGTATGGTGAGTACCGTTCCATCTTCTATCTTTCTCTCTATACTCTTTAAAATCTATATTATATGTTGTTATAATAATAATAATAATAATAATAATAATAATAATACAGTAATACTTATTTGAACTTAAAACTTTTACATCAGTGGCACACTTTGAAAAACAAAGGTGCATCGGTTATATGACTGACATTAATTACATTATTCTTAAATATGTAATTTCTTCCAGTAGGTAGCATAAACAATAAGATGATTTACTGATAAATTTAGTTTTGAATTTGTTTTAGTGAGCTGTGGCCATTTTAATTGTTTATATATGGATGTGTATTTTTTTAAAAGTGGTAATTAAATACTGTAGATGAAAACAAATTGAAGTGGTCTTTTTGAAAATAGCTTTACCCTCATCTCAATTTCCCAAGAATTGAAATACTTCAATTATATAACGTTAAAAAACCTGAATAGACAGCTGTATGTAGGAAGTCAAAATTACCATATTAAATTTAATTCATTTTGTAACTATTGTCAAAAAATTATTTTATATCTAAAGCATGTATTATAGATTATGTGCATCATTGGTTTCTGAAAGGGCAGCATCTACATTTTTCATGTTTAATTAATTGGTGTCCAGTGTTGCTGTGCTAATGTTATGGATGCTATGGCGGGACATTCTATGTTACACTATTTTGTATGCGAAACATACAAGGTTTAAAGTCTAGCACTAATTGCTCTTGTCTCGTAAATTTGTAGGTATGCAATGTTGGAAGCCTCGGAGATCGACAAGTGTACGATACATGATGAAACGGAGGCCTCCTCGCTCTCTGAGGTTAAGATAAAACAGATAGGCCACTCACTCATTACATTCTTTACAATCAATTATGGGGTTGAAGGGCTGGGGACGGGTGTAAAGTGTTCTGTCATTGGGTTTTTTTGCACATCAGTATCAAGGCTACTTCATTATGAGAAGTTTTTTTTTAATTGGATTTGCAGCTCTCAAGAACCACAGTATCACAGTGACATTCCCATATTTAATAACTATATTATCTTTTAAAAGGTGGCATTTGCTTCCTACCAATCTGTTTATTTTTATTCCTGCAAATATATGTTGTTCCTCCATAAATATCAGTTACCAATGCTTTTTGATATGTTTTACAAAGTAATGGTATTTTTTTCTTTTCTTGTATTTCTGAAGTGCCTTCAATGGTAACTATAGCCTCGAATTGCTTTTTGAAACTACTGAACATTAACATGTACTGACAAAATTTAGCTGTTAATTTAGCTTAATTTTACATCTTGTTTACTATTTTTTAAATGCACTTTTATAGCCATGTTATTTTTTGTGCTGGCTTCGGATTTATGTCTACTGAAATAGAACCTGTATGGCATTAATGAATACATTTTTTTAATCATTGTTTTTTAAACCATTGGTATCTAATTTGGTATTGATTATCAATGAATTTAATTAAGTATTAATTTTAATTAATTTATTGAGTTATCAAAGCATTGGTATATTACATATGGTGTATTGGTTGTTAATAATTGCATATTAATTAAAAATGTTATTTTATTGGTTATTTATCAAAGCATTGGTATCTATTGGATGAAGGGGTATTGATTTTATTTTCCAGGAGATTGACCCAAAGGCAGGTACTGGGGCGCCAATGACGATAGGAGAAATGCTGCGTTGTTTGCTTACCAAGCAAGAATGGTTCTCCACTTTGTTTCCTCGCATTCCAGTTCCAATCATGAAGGTAAGATAAAACAATCTATTGAAAATTCTCAATTCGCAGTAATAAACTAATTTTATTTCACTTACTAGTTCAGCGAGTTGTGGCAGGTGGAGTGACCGAGCAGTAAGTTAAGGGTGCCACTGAGTACAGCCTTACCATCAGCGCTGGTTCAAGCCTTTCTTCTTCCAGGGTTCAGTTGGCAGAAATGCTTTGGGATGGAAAGAAAAGTAACAGGCTATGAAATGATTAGAAAGCAACACGCTATGAAAGCCACAATGTGTGGGCCGAGTTGAATAAATCGTTGCAATTAACACCAAACTATTGTAATAATTATTAATAATCATCAATCTTATTATTAAATTAAATTAAACTAAACTAAAAGCCAAAAATATTGGATAGATAATTACGGTACACTTGTACATTTGTTTATGGTTTAATTTCTTGTTTATGGTTTAATTTCTTCTCGATGTTGTTGTTAAGTGCCTCAAGATTGTGACAACTTAAGGCGCCATATAAATGCAGGATTATTATTATTATTTTTGGATAAGGACTTCAAATGGAGGCCCAGTATACACATCTGGCTTGTGTGCACTTTAAAGAACTCATTGCATCTTTCGGAAGAATAAAGGGTTACCCCGATGCTATGTTTAATTTTAGCCCCTCATGAAATTCAAAATTATAAAACTTTTTACAGTTATTACTTGAAAAATAAAATAGTTCAAATTGTGAAAAATTCATAAAAAAAAGAAAAGAAATTAAGCTAACTAAATTTCATAGCTTGTGTTAATAACCAACTGACTTAGGCTTACTTGTTTATATTTGCATAAAATATATAATTTAAGTTAAACGAATCAATAATTTTCCTTTTATGGTCATTTGATTGTTTTCTGAGTAATTCTGATATTTTTTGTTTTTCTGGAATTAATTATGAACTAAGTTGTTGCAACCTGCCTTATACATTGTTGTTAAGTATGGTAGCAACTATATATCAAATTAGAATTTCTTGATAATCTTTTTGCCAGGAAATTGAAAACCGGATGCCACCACGCAATATACAGAAAGCCGTAGAAGACCATGAGGATGAGAACAATGTAGATAATAAAGAGATCGAGAGAAGAGACCGTCGCTTCAGGTATGTGGTTGTTAAAAGTGCAGTTTTTAATTAGAAGTAAAGTTAGTAAACTGTTCCAAGTTCAATAAAGTCAATATTGATTAAATTATTATATGTAGATCACTCATGGAAGTTGGACTCAATAACAAATTTTAATTTAATAGTATATGATGCAGTACCCTGAAAAATTACATTTAATTGGAATCCCCAACTTGGTAACTGGAACTTCTGACCTTAAATTTTCCTTGACATTGTGAACTGGTTTTTTTGTCAATCTGCAGTCAGTAGTGCAGAAAAATATTGTAAAGGCAAAGATATAACTTGCCACAATCTTCTTGTAATTGGGAACAGTTTCCTGTTGGACTTTTTTTTCTCTTATTTTCACTGAATAGAGCAACAGTTACTGTGACCATGATGACAGATAACACTAATTACTTTTGAGTGATTGATTAATTGATTCATTCTTTTTTGTTCATTAATTACATATTTTAAAAAAACTAGACATTTAATTACATTCTCTCTTCATTCCAGAGCTTCACCTGATATCCAACGACCGAGAAGCTCAGAGAGAAGAAGAAGTAATAGTCGTGACAAACGGGGAAGTTACAGCCGCGATAGAGTTAGAAGCCGCAGCAGGGACCGAAAACGTAGTAGGAGTCCGGTTAGAAGACGGAGAAGCCATAGTCGAGATCATGTCCGCAGAAGTAGAAGTCGGGAAAGATACCGCAATAAGGAATATCAACGGAGAAGAAGTCGGAGCCGGGAACGTCACCGTAGTCCACACCGATCAAACAACGAGTCTCGCAAGCATGATTTTTCAGATGATCTTAATCGTGAAAGAGCTAGACAGGAGAAAGAATTTAAAAGGCAGAATCGAAGTAGGAGTGGAGATCGAAGAGAAGAAAGCAGAAAGAAAGAAAAGAGTAAGAAAGACAGAAGTGAAAGCCGCGAGAGAAAAAAACACAAAAAGAGTAAGAAGCACAAGAGGGATCGAAGTAGGAGTGCAGATCGAAAACGAAGCAGTAGTCAAGACAGGTGATGAGCACTCTCATGCATCTTTATGAGATTCTATTGAAGCCTGCGTCAGATGTATTGAAGGGATATCCAGGTTATGTTTTTAAAAATTCCATCTCAATTTTGGAGAAAAACTTTCTTGAAATCTGCCTTGTTGGAATTTTACTTTATGAAATGACATTTCAAATTGCATTTTGTAATTATGTGATGTTTTTATGAGTTATTAATACGTCGCATAAAATGTTGGATCACAAACTTATTCATACAAATGATGAAAGCTAGTAATTATTCATGGAAGTTCACAACTTCCATGTACTTATACTGTTATACTATATATTTTTTTTGGATTGAGAGTTGTTAAAGTCAGATAATTAAACTTCATTTTGTGAAATAATAGCCACCACAACCTTTTACAAGTGGTGTTATAATGTATACCACATGCTGAACTTCTGTTGTTCATATTTATGCAAAGTAAAACAGAATGCCGTATGTACATGTTATTGGTTACTGTATGGTTCAGTATAGAATAAGACTTAGCTGGCTCAAAAAATTGCTGGCTCTGCACTACTTTACAGTCAGTCACCAGTTGTACAGCTCAGGATGCTTACATTTTCATCAGCATTACAAGTTAGAAATGCAGGCAAGCTTTCATTATGTAAATATGTAGGACCTGTACATGAACATTAGGACTGTTTCAAGTGTAGTGCAGACAACATGGGACTGTATTTTGTAATGTTGGTGTAATAATGAAAGTCTATTCTTTTCAAGGGATGGGGGTGGGTTTGGTTGGAAGATGGGAGAAGAAGAATTGCATTTAATTTCTTAAATTTTTAACAAATAATTCTGATGGTTTCTGAGTATTTTACTTTATTGTATTGTAATGATGGTCGACATATATACATTTTTGTTTCCAACTTCTGTTTAAGAATTCAGTCAGAACACATAATAATATAACATAGTACTGTAGCTTGAAAATGTCATTTATATTACATGTAAAATCCAACATATTGTTAATCTGCACAACTTTAAATCTTCAAACAATTTCTGGTAAATATAATTTTACAAATTTTCTCCAACATAATATCTATTTTTAAGACTGTAAATATTGTTAATACTAAATGAGTGATTACTGTATTGTTGTGATGGATATGCATATTTATTATACCTCATAAATATTAATTAGGCATTCAACAACACTTTATTGGTCCACCTGGTAAGTGATGCGGCAGCCTCTACTACTTCACTGCATGTGCCAAATTTATTTGTACATGGGGAGACTACCGCACCACTGCCTATGTGAAACATATGCAGACTGCATAATTTTGCCCTCGCAGTTCGAAATGGCTAATGTAGACGGACGGTTTGCTGCTTAATATTTATAAGGTTTAGTAAAACAAATACAACATGGTTTTATTTCAGTAAAGCAGTGAATTATACTTCCCCTGTTGTTAAGTGATTGGGACTACTTCCTTTTGCTTTGCATCAGAAAGTGGTCCTAATCATACAACACCTTGGGAAGTAGAATTCACTACTAAACTTCAAACCATGTTGTAATTTATAATATTATATATGTTAATTTTGATATAATTTACCCATTGAATAAAGTGAAAACTCATGCATTGGTATTAATTTCAATAAATGATTAATTATTATTTTCAATTTCTGTAAGAGATGTGTTTTATCAGAGTTTATTAATATTACTTTATTAAAGATTTTTCATTTCTGATGATCTTCTAATGTTTCTTGGTTTTAGTTGTTAATCCTTTTGGCTCAATTTATACTTGTTCCTAAAACAGATTTTTTTTTTTTGTGACTACCCCCGTATTGAAGCTTTTCTTGGTACTGTATTGCTTAATTAAATGTTTTGTCTTGATATCTGTCCAATTTCTTGTCAGGATGGTTCACAGATCGTATGTAAAAAATGGAATTTCAGAAATGGTGTAGTTACATGTTTTAGAATTGGCAGTTTGGTACCATGTTCCAGCCTATACGAACCATTAAATCTTTAGGTAGGCCTACTTAATTTACATAATAGTTCCCTTTTATTTAGAGATTCAGTCTTTAAGTTGTCCTGTTTTTGCCAACACTGTAAATTAGATCTCTTTGTGATCAAATAAAAACAAATTGTTCATGTTTTTAACATTTGACTGAAGTTTTTGATTTCTTAGTTTGACAGAATTACTGCAGTTAATATTTTTCATTGAAAATAATTTACTGCAAACACACAGCACAAGCATAGTACAGCATCAATAATCTGGTCTCTTTTCTAATCAGCAGTTTAACTTCATGAATGCACCTTGAACAAAACTAGTGTATTAATGGAAATTACAAATCTCTGGTATCTGCAAGAATTAAAGCACATTGTTTTTATTCAACAGCAGGCCCGGCCGTAGGAAGCAAGTATTAATGCTCTGGCCAAACACATGTTGAAGAAGAATTGAGGACGGGTTGAAATATTCATGTTTAGAATAAAATTTGTGCTCAAAAGTCTACCAAGCCGTTGACATCTTACCGTCTTTTTCATTGAGTTAGGTATCTAAGGAACACACATGGATTACATCATGCGCTCTCTCTCTCTCTATATATATAGTTTTATATATATATTGTACTGTATATATGTATATATATACAGCATATATATATATATATATATATATATAATATTGCAATATATATTGCGAGCTGCTAACCTTAAATAATACACATAAGTAAAAAGGAACATAAAATAACAAAAAGCAAATAAATTAAGATAAAAAAAAAACTACACTCAGGCTAATAATTTAATAAAGTATAAAATACACTATATCAATGGAAAGCAATAAAAAAAAAATTAACATCGACAAATGGAGCATCTTCAAGAAAATAACCAGGAACAAACATTTAAAGGATCGAAAGTGGGCAGTTTAGAGTTGGAGTACTTCAAAACAGATTTTTTGAAATCAGATAAGGATACAGATGATAGGCTGAATCAGGAAGAGTATTGAAGAGAAGAACAGTGCGATTGAAATAAGAGTATGGAATAATGATTAGTTTTACTAATAGACTTAATAAGAGAAGGAATAGATGAACTATATGTAGAAGTGTTGAAGGAGAAAAATAAATTGTTGGATTCAAATGAAGGAGGATAAATTTTAGCCATGCTACAGAGATCTGTAACATGTCTCCGGTAGGAAAGAGGTAAAAATCACAGCGATTAAGTCTATCATGCCGGGTAGCAACTGTCAAAACTACAGTCATTCAGTATAATTTAGTGGCTCTCCTTTGAACACCTTCAATAAGACGCATAACACTTAGAAGATGAAATTAACTTAACCATTTTGAAGTAACATAAAAGTTATCAACTTGAACATAAAAATTAGTGTATTTAAAAAATGTCTACCCATGGCAGTTTACAGCGAAAAATGATAGAAACACTTCCAGTCACTGGTGTTTTATTATCTTTACAGTATAATTTTTTGGTTTAAATATCAGGGTACACATTTTTTAAATTCAATAATTTTTATGCACGAGTTAATAATTTGTATGCTATTGCAATATGAGCAAGTTTATTTCAAAATTATTTTTTTTATGAGTTTTTGACATAGCATGGGACAATACATCTTTAAAACATATTTGATTCTTATTGTTAGCACATGTTGATGAATTACCTAGGCTACTAAATAAGAATATATTCTTATTTATACAAGATTTAGAGGTTACTTTGTGCAGGTAGTATTTTATTTCCCTTAATCACGACACATCACCAACCTCGTACGTATTTAGATTCACTGTTGTACGCGCCCTTTGGACTGCTGTGTACAGAACGCCCTGTTTATGAGTAAACATAACGGTATGCCCATCCCAGCCTAGAATCATGTCGCTAAAGGCAGTTGTTGGTACTAGTAAGTATCATTTAGATGTCTTTTTTGCATTATTTTCCAAGTGCCAACACCGAAATCATGTTTTAAATAAGCATATTTATTTTTAGTGCGTTTTCATGATTTTTTGACGTTGCAAATCAGTGGATTTTTACTGTACATGAAGTGATGTGATTGCTGGTCTACGCTGTAACCGCCCCATTTATATACATTTTGGCGAGTCACGTCAGGCGAGACGACGCTTTCGTCCCCGTTATTTTTCTCAAACAGTACTGTACACGGGGATGGAAGCTTAGGCCTAGGATTTTTGACATTTTAGGGTCATAGAATTCTGGTTTGTTTTTGATTAACCTGTTTATGTTTTTATAAGAGGACAATTAGTGCTTCATTCTTCATATACTATACATTTAATAATTCATAGTTACATTAAAGTGCAATGTAAATATTTTTATTCTGACTTGATTTTTATTCAGGGTGTTGAGAAGACTGCCTACTGCAGGCCCTAGCCTATGCCTAAAGTATGCTAGCCTAGCTGAATTACAGACGGTCATTTCAACCAATAATGAATGTTGTTTGTATTTGTTGATGTTTGATCCCGAAGTAAATAAATAATGATCATTTTAATTACGATTCTTTATAATACCTGTATGTTACATGAATTTAGAACGCAATAATGAATCAGAATGAATATAGGCTAGCCTAGTCCACACTAGGTTGACCCGATCGTCTAGCTAGGGCCCGGGGTGGGCCCAATTCTCTGGAAATGGGCCTGATTGTTCTGGGCCTTATAGGGTCTGATCGTCACCCGCCTAGCTAGACTATCCAGGCTAACTAGCTAGGCCTAGTATGTAGTACATTTAGAAGTCACTGATGAGGTAGCTGCCTACCACCAAGAACCTAGACCTGGTCTTATTTTTTTTTAGAAGTTTAGGTAAAGATTATTATCATTAATACTGACTCAGCTCAGTAATGGGGATCAGGTGAAATGTTTACTCTCATTACTATTTGGTGTCTGCTGAATTTAGTTGTGACTAATAATAGTACAAAGAAGTAAGGTATAATAATTTACTGCCCACTTCGCTTGTTTCATTTATGATTTACTGTTTGTGGAGGTAATGAAATTAAATATGAAAATGAGGCAGCAACTTAAAACATTGTTGTAAGGGTTTTTTGGCCTGAGAACTGGGAAATACATAAATAAAAAAATTAAAGATTACATGGTAGGCCTAATCATTGGAATACTGGTACATGTGATAATTACTACATATATACAGTAAATATTTTTATATAAAAAAATTGTATGCACACTATTGTTATATAAATCTCTTGTTGCCATTCACTTTAGTAATTGCGTTGCAAATCTTACATTTTTTTTAGTAATTTATGATGTGATACTGACAAATTCGTTTTCCCTGGCTGGGTTAGGCAATTTGACAGCGTAAGTTTGCTGTCAAGCCTGGCATTTACCAGAGTGCAATAGAGGGCCCTTTCTATAGAAATAATCAATTTCATAGTCTAAACTGTGCATGCCCATATCAAGATCAATGCTGTCAGTGCTTTTAGGAAATTTAAACCCTGCTCTCAAGTTTTTAACAGAGTCGCCCATTTTTAGCTTTCCTTTGCTCTAGTTCAACTGCATGTTGAGATGTAAACACTAAAATAAACTATCGCCTATATTTTTATCGATTTGATACAGGTATTTTGTATCTCTGTGAAAACTGCAACCAATCTTTAAAAACTGCAGATAAACTGTATTTATTAAGTAGTACGGTACATTATGATATTTTGTATAAATGCCTTGACCTTTGAAATAACCATCTGTGAAATATACAGTACTGTAAGGGCCCAGGGAGGAACCTTCATTACGAATGGAGGATCCATTGTGGCACACTAAATGACCAGAAATAATAGTATTCAGTCCCAATTAAGACTATTGATCTTTTGATTGAGTCAAATTCTGTTTTTTGCTAAATTTCTGTAGGACTTCTTCCGTTAAGTTGCCGCCTTCACCTTGTTGAAGATGCTGCAACTGAGCTACAATACATTGTGTAAATGGCTGACCAGGGCTATTTGGACTTGTGTGATAAATTTCCTACAATGATGGCTCCAGTAGACTACCTGTGTGTGTGTCTTTTATGGTCTGTCAGGTTTACAGAAGATTGTATTTCAGGTTTAAACAAATATTGGATTAACAGCAAAATGCTATAGAAACCTATTGAACAGAAATGCATGTCGGAAGATTTTTCTGTAATTATAATCTCATTGAAAATTTTGATATTTAAATTGTTGGTTGGTAGGATAATGAAGTTCTTTTGTTATCATTGGTAATTAGATACCCTGGTTTAGCTGTTCTCCTCCGTTGTGTAGGCTAGCCATTCAGATATAGCTTAAGATGAGATATTGATCTTTCTTGCGCATGTTGTTAGTGGAGCCACTCAACTGTGACTTCATTTTAAATCCAGTGAGGTGGTACATGACATCATCTCATATAATGATATTCATCCCAATCTCATTGACAAATGCGCAGTATTACAGATGTGATAAGTGAATTTCATCTGAAATATGAGAGATGATGTTATAGATAGACTATATGTAGAGAATTTTTAAGCTTGGTGGATATTATTATAAATTATTACAATATTATCATTAATAATATTTTTGTTTATATGTTATTGTTGAATTTGCTGAATATGATATTTATTGTTATTATTATTATAATAATATAAACATATAATATATTAATATTGTAATAATTTATTATTAATAAATAACATTTTATTAATAGTTTTTTGATGTAATGATTGATGTTATTATTTTGTTATTTTTTAATATGTTTTTGCTTTTGGAATTATTACCATACTAGTCTTCATTATAAAATTGATTGTTTTTTTTTGTTTTTTTTTTATTAAGTTAAACCATTATTGTTTTTTTGTTTTTTTTTATACTAAATTTGTAACAATCCCTGTCCAATGTCACCTTGATTAAATTTCTTTTTGTATAGAAAGCTGTATTTAGCTGTAAATTAGTTATCCGCCAAGCTCATTTTTTTTCTGCCAGATCGATATTTGAACAAGTCCAGAGCATGACAATTGTACCATAAAGCTATTTGTACAGACTATTTAAGCACACAGTTATTAAATTCATTGTTTGCAAGAAAACATATTATTGAGAGAGCTTATTTTAGTGTTGAAAGATGCAAGCTTGTATGATGAGTTCTGCATTCATTATGAACTTCTGTTGATAATATAATCATCCTGAGCTTGCCATTATGTTATTGGCTGTTCAATTGTTTCACTTACTAGTTGAAGTCTAACATTTTTGCCTGTGACTTTAACTCAGAGGACTGGCAGTTCAGTGCAGCAGGATAGGTGAGGGAACGTGAGATCCGACACAATTATTTTAATATTGCTCCGAAATCCAATTATGATTCCTGTTAAAACTTTTGCATTGACTTAAATATTGATTGCCTTGCATCTGGAAGGGGTAATGCTATTAGGTACTATATGTACATATACATAGTGGTAGAACTTATTGCAATGGTGGTATTTATTGGTTGATTTATTTGTGACATCATTCATTTATTCATTCAATCATTATTTATTAATTCAACCTTTATCTATAAATTCGTCATTCACTATTCATCTAATTCATAAGCCATGTGTTTAAAAATTGCTACTCAAAAGGGGTTTAAGTTTCACACTTGCTGGCATCATGCTTCCAAGATCTTAAATATTCCAAATTATCACTACAGTTGAACTTGCCTAAGTCGAATCCAAAATGCCATTGAAATACTATTTGACTTAGATAAAATTCGACTTGCAGATTGTTAAATAATAGAAAACACAACAATTTGCCATGTAAAATTGGATTACCTTAGAAATATTTGACTTATTCTCCATCATTCTATGCATTTGTTTATTCTTTCATACCATTCATCCAACCAAAATTGATATCAATCAAATCATCAGTCCATAGTAATTGATCATTAATTTTTTATTACAATGCACATTCATTCATTTCTTCGTTTCTTCGTTCCTTCATTCATTCATTCATTCATTTATTCATTCATTCATTATTCATACTAATTCATCCATCTATCATTCATTTTAATCCATAGGTACCACATTTCTCTTTTATTTAAAAGTCTCTTATTATATTCTCTATCCATTTTAAATGAATGTTAATCTTTAAAAGTGCTCACTTGCTTGCACAAGGTAGAATGAAGCAAGCAATAATGCTTCAGCCTTTGTTGTTCACACTAGAAGAGAACCTAGGTTTTTGGAGATCCTCCAAGGAGTATGACATCATGCCATTGTAATCTTCAAATGTCAGCTTACCATCCCTTGTGATATTATTGCCTTGCTTATGCAAACTAATTTATTCTATTTATAGTTTTAATTGATGCTATACAGTATATGAGACTTTTTTGATATTTATCAATTAGGAAACCTACCTCATCATCATTGCTTTCATTTAATTATTGTTTATTATATTCTATCTTTTATCTTTGCAGTACCGTATGTTAAAGAAAAATTTATTGAAATGAAATAATGTATGTGAATGTTATTTCGTATGGATTGGTGTATGGATTATATCCTGAAGAGTCCTTATTCTTACAAGTTTAGGGTACCATATACAGTGGCATTTATTGTAATTTCATTATTTTAGTCTCTTAAATCTGTAATTTACTATGACCTGATGGAGATCAAATGTAATATTTTTTAGGCACCTGTATTTTCAACTCAGACCAAGACCCTTTTCAGATGACCAATTTCTGATACAGTACCTACAATACGTAGGAAAATGCACAAATCACTGCCAGTAGTATAGTATGAAGACCAGAAATATTAAACACAATAAATAGGAAATTTGTTTGGCTTGTTTTTCTCTTATTTGATAGCATTATTAAAATATGCTTTTTATTCTTATAAAGCTTATTATTTCTAAGTAGGATGTTAATTTATGTGGACCGTGTAACTTATTTAGTAAATTTTAAAATATAATAATTTTATATGACAATTTTCTATTCTACAGATATTCTTGAAGTGGTGAAGTCGGTGCGGAAGGGTAAAGAATGGAGAGTATTGATTGTGGACCAACTCGGTATGAGGATGATGTCCTCTTGCTGCAAGATGCACAACCTAACAGAAAATGGGATTACAAGTAAGACAACTAACTACTGCTGCTGCTACCACTACAACTAATATACTCTACAGTACTTCTGAACTGCCTCCACCACTGCTATTAATTTAAGAAGCATTGATTGATGCTAATTAATTTTATACGTGATTATGTTAATGTGCTTTGTTAATTATAGATATTGATTTTAAGTATTGATGCTATTGCTATCAATGTTAATATTATTATCGATATTTATTATTATCAATGCTATTGTTATTGCTATTCAGTAAAGAAATGCATTATTTCAAGTTATTTTATCTGTGCTGATGTTTCTCTATATCTTTTAGTTGTTGAGGATTTAGCCAAGAAGAGAGAGCCGTTGAGGTCAATGGAGGCTGTGTACCTGATACAACCTAACCAGACTGTAAGTAACTACTTAACATTTTTCTGTAATACGTAGTTAGTGTGATAATAGCATATAGTCTCATTAAGTCCTGTTCAGACTATTGTATGCCCATATATAGTCATGATGTGCCTATATATAGTCATGATGTGATGCCATCATGACCATATTTAGACATGTCACATGTTTTTGTCAAATAAAATTTAAAAAAAACTAGACATTTTTTATACCATGATTTGCAAACCCAATGCTTTCTGATAATGATTATTTTGAATAAAAATATCTGTACAAATGTTTTTGGCCTGTTAGCTTATCTTCCACTTTCTCAAATTGGAAAGTTTATGGAAAACAGTTGTAGATATTTCTAACTGTTCTTGAACCTGTCCATATAGGCTACACATACATACTGAAAAAAAAGAAAATTAAAATTATTAGTATTATTATCAAAATAAAAGTTGAAAATCAATTATGATGATTAATGTCTTGGGTCAATTATTAGATATAATAAATGCTGAACGTTCTATACTCATTACAAATGGATAAGGATTTCATTTACAAGTTTACTACAGTATTAGGTTTAAAATGTTAAGTTCAGATTGTTATTTTAGCGTTTTTATTCAGTTGTTCAAATTTTTATTATTTTCATGTTCATTTTCTAATTATTTTTCAGTCCATTGACATTTTGAAGAGGGATTTTGAAAACATTCGTGACCTACAATATAGGCTTGCCCATGTATTTTTCACTGAAGGTGAGTGGGTAGTGTTTCAAAATACAGTAAATACATTTGAGGTTCGATCAAAAGATCCTATTTATACCTGCGGAAGGTCAAGACAAATGTAGTTTTTTTTGCTGTACTAGTTGAATACACAAATTTCTTAATTGTAAAAAATAAATAATTTTGGTTGTTATGATCTGCAACAGATTACTGTAACTTCACTGACTACACTAACTGCTGTTTGTTTAAAAAAAATGCACATTCTTTATAGATCATATGTAACGAAAAATTTTTTTATATTAATAATTTACCAATTAATGGAATTATTAAAATTTGACCCTAGCTTGTCCCGATGACTTGTTTACGGACATCTGCCGAAGCCCTGCTTCCAAGTTCATAAAGACGCTGAAAGAAATCAACATAGCCTTTCTGCCATGTGAAGCCAAGGTAATTATTTTCAAGTATTTGATATTGTCTGTTTTTATATTACGCCAAAAATTATTTACTTGTTTATTATATTTTCCTTACTAACATGCAAAATTTCTTGTGGCATAACTTATACTAGAGTAATGGCTTGTATAACAGAATAGTTTTATTTTCACGTGGAAGCCAACATGTTATATTTAAAATATGTTAACTGTGTATAGTGTGAAACTAAATAATCTTGTCGATTCTAAAGCCCTGTCCAGACTATCAAATTTTATTTGACATAAACATGTGACATCCCTAAATATAGTCATGATGACATCACATCATGACCATATATAGACATATCATGGCCGTAATAGGCACATCGTGACTATATATGGGCATTGATAGTGTGGACAGAGCTTTACAGTTGGATGAACTGCATCAGTTGTGCGTTTTCAATGTTTTATGGATATCAGCTCAATTAATAATTTACAAGGTTTCCTCCTTTTTTCCTGTTCCTTCTGTGTTATGTTGGTACTTAGTTGGCAATGTAATTCATTGAATTATGTATCAACGAGGTCGGCTAAATGTGCATATGGGATGGCACACCCACCCAGTACTGATTGTTTTTTTCTTTTTTTTTCCCCTTTCATTTTCATTAAAATTACATTAAATATTATGTTTTCATTTGATTAGGTTTTCTCACTCGACAACCCAGAAAGTTTCAGCACGCTGTACAATCCCTCAAAGAACAGCTATTGTTCCAGCACCCTTGAGAAGCTAGCTGTACAGATTGCCACTCTCTGCTCCACTCTTGGGGAGTATCCCAGCATCCGTTTCCGATCGGATTTTGAGCATAATGCAGAGCTAGCACAGAGCATACAAACCAAGCTGGATGCCTACAAAGCAGATGATCCCACTATGGGGGAGGTAAGTTGTATATTCAGTTTCAATATTCATGGTAATTGTGTTTCTAAAAATTAAATTCACTTTCTGGTATGATGACCTACATCCTTATTGGCCTGTTTTAAATATACTGTTATCTGATTAGACAAAATGAATAATGAAATTAAATGTTGACATATGACCTGTAGCATTCTTTAAAAACATTATGTAGCTATGCTTTTGTCATGTCAAATTATGAGAGGCCATTTGTTTACAGTGGCCTGAACAGCTGTTGATGTCTATGGTGGCAAGGACACTTATGAGACTAGTGCTATTGATATAACATGTCAATATTATATTGAGTAGGCTGATTGAACTACAGTGATATTAATGATTGATGACAATGATAACAACAACAATGATGAGCTTACCAAAAGTGACATTTAATAATTAATGTAGTGTGACAACTTGACATGACATGACAAAATATGTTTACTTTTTTAAATGTTCAGAACCTTGATATATAATATATGCTGAATTAATTGTGTCTGAATATTAATGGCAAAATACAAATCTGTGTTTTGTATTTTTTTTAATAAAAAAAAAATATTTAGAAAGTCAAAAAAAATGTTCACAAATATATATTTATGAATCCATTGTACTGTATGCTAAATGGTTTCCGACCTTTGAAAAAATTCAAATTATACATTCTTTTATTTTTTTTAAAAATAAAAAAGCTAAAAAATATTTTAAAAACATGTTTTTAAAAAAATTGAGAACATTATATTTATTTGAAGTCAAATGTTTAAGGATCTCATGCTAATACAAAAGTGATTAGGTTCGCTTTCAGGTTATTGTACTGTCTTGTCTCGACAATAAGAAAAGAAAGGAGGAAGATTCATCTTTCCATAAGATACTTCATCATCAGACATATAGATTCTTAACAAAAATATTCAGTGATCATTGAAAAATATTTATTTTCATATCTTGTATTCTGAATATCTAAAAAATGTCAGTATAAAGGCACAAAAGAGCTACATAATTTATTTGAAGTAAATTTTTCTTATCAAGTCTTAAATTTTTCTTATCAAGCATTGTAGAGTAGTACCTAAATAATCACAAAACTATTACTACTACTTATAATGCAAATTATAATAAAAATAGGAATTGAAGTGATATTCCAAGCGTTACTATTACTATCAACTTTTCGAATTAAAAAAAAAAAAGCATGAAATATTAATAGCCATGATAAATAAATAAACCTTCCACACACCAGATCAAAAATGAGTTCTCTTAAAAATTAGGTCGATATGGAATTAATAAATGAATATTTAAAAAGTGTTGGCTTTTATTTATTTTTTGTTGTTGCAGTAAATGTAGTAAAATCAATAGTAGTAATATTTGATTTAATAGATTTGGAATTTTGATCTCTGGAAGCATTATTTTGGGCTCTTGATTTGATGGTTAAGGTATTTTTAGATTTGGATAGTATTCCATATGTTTCTATATTAGTAAAGGTGATATTATCACCGTTTGTGATGTTTAATCAGTACACTGAGAGAAATCCCTCTCTTATATCAACATTGTTATATAATATCCACAAGCCAATGACTTCAAAATCACTTGCGACCAAGTGCACTATAGTCAGTTGGTTTTCAGTCCTCCAATTGAAACACAAGCAGAGTAGATGGATGACATCTCAATGCACATAGTCACTACCACCAATTTTACAGCCATGTTGCTTGGAATCTGATATAATGTATCAAATTTGGCACTGAGGGTGAAATTGAAATGTACAAATGATGATATTGATCCTTGATATTGATTGTGTTCTGGTTTACCAGCTTTCAACATATAACTTCAACTCTTTAGGGACTTGACAAGCATCGTTCGCAGCTGCTTATTGTCGACCGAGGGTTTGACCCTGTGTCACCTCTGCTCCACGAGCTGACCTTTCAGGCCATGGCCTATGACCTGCTTCAAATTGAGAATGATGTCTACAGGTATGTTTTAATAATATTGAAACATATGCATATTGTGCACTTTATAAAAACCACTAGCGACTTAAGTCACGGTGCAGACAAGTTTCTGAAAACATTTCCCATCATCAGTGAATAGAATTCAATACCGTGTAGCTTTTATGCCTAAAGGCAGGTAATATGTAAATGAGAAATATTAGTAAGAATATTAAGGAATACAGTTGCAGATTCTTCTTTTCAACAAAAAATGAAGGAGACCCTTTACATTACTTGGGAGAAGAAGTCTCTAAACAAGCAGTAAGGCTACGCTCAGACTTGGAGATAAGCTTGAGTTAAGCCCGGCTCAACGTTAAGCGCAGCTTTACTAGCGGGTTTAGCCAGACGAGAATTTGCATATTAATGAACCGTAACCAGGAAACGTGTTTCAAAACATTGTTCGCAAAACGTACGCTCGCTCACAGCGTAAGTAATTGAATGCTGATTTTTTTACCGGAAGTCAATGCAAGACCCCCCGCAGCGATTAAAGCCCGGCTTAGAAAAGTTAAACACTGTGGCACGCCAGGCCAAGTTACTATAGGAACACAACCCGACTTGAGATAAGCCACCTAGTTCAGACCCGGCTCAACTCACCGGGTTTATCCACCTAGTCTGAACTAGGCCTTAGTCAATTTAAACATTACACGCTGTTTAATCGTCACATGGTTTAATCACAATCCCAACTGTTTTCTTGTCTTCTTAATTTCTACATTTCCATTTATCAGTTGCCTATAGGTATTAAAGCTACACGGTATTGAATTCTATTTACTGATGATGGCAAACATGGTTTATTTAAAGTGGTTTTTTTTTAAAGTGCCTAGCTGTTATATTATCCATATACATATTATGTATTTCATGAAATTTGTTTCTGGTTAGACGAGAGTCACTGGTACCGGGCAGCACAGACATGAAGGGGCTCTTAAGGGCGAAAAAAGTAATTGATCAAAGTATTAGTTCACATATCAAGCGCCATGAGCATCTTTTTTGATGGATATCGGTGCTATTCAAATCTACACTATTACTATTACCTCTTTGGAGAGTGATTGTATAATGTGCTTGCCTTGGAGATAGTGAAATAGGCAGCATGGTATTAAACACACTGTCACAAGACATGCAAATGAGAACCTGACCTGCAGTGTGCTATAACCAAATAAACAGTTAAATAATACAAATAAAAATAGACATGATAAATGGGAACTCCAAAAAAACCTAAAGCTGGTCACTCACTGCAACCAACAGCCGACACGATTGGTTTTAATGACAATCCTTTTGGACTGCCATCGACAATTAGCAGACGGCATCGCATCACCTAGTGCTCACAGGGAGAGTGAGTTGGATTCATGTCCAGCTTTAGATTTTTATAGAGTATCCCCCTCCCCCTATCTTAACTGATCTATACTACAACCAGGATCATCAGTCTATCAGTGACATTAACATTTAAAAGCTAACAATACATTTATAATAATAATTATGTGAGTTTATCTACAAAGTTCTTCATTAGCTAGTCTCTATATGGTTTATGGTGAATTAACTTTTACTGCGAGATACAGTAAATCTTTTATTTCCAATATATGTGTAGAGAGCATATATTTTTTGCATAACTTCATTGATGTGATTTTATTTTTAGGTATGAAGCGCCATCACCTGACATGCCTTACAAGGAAGTGCTGCTCGATGACAATGATGAACTGTGGGTGGAGCTACGCCACCAACATATTGCTGTTGTATCTCAGTAAGTATGTCTGTATGTAAACTTAGGCCTATGTAAATGTGCTCTGAAATTCACCAATAAACTAGTATATATTCTGTGGTACAGTAAATTCCTATTTTTGTATGTAAATTTATGCTAATTAGAGTGAACTAAGATGCATTTCACTAGAGAAAGTTTTGGACTTTTTGTTGGTAAATGCATGGAGGTATTATTGAGAAGGAGATCACTCGGCAAAGCCACGCGCACGCAGCGCTATGCAAATGAACCAAGATCAACGTTGCCGCAGCGCGTAAAGAACGTTTGCGCGATGCCTTTGAAGTCCCATGTGTTCCCTGCCATCAAATTTTCAGCAGGCATAGTTGACCAAAAAATTGAACATGACGAAATGGAGAGCACCTTCTTTTCTCAATGCGCACTACATACTGTCAATCACTATGGCTGCGCAATCTTTTCTATTTTGAAGCTGATACATTTATCTCTCATAAAATATCAAACATATTAATATTTTCCTCCAAAAAAAGTTTCAAATTTAATGGAACATTTACATGACCTATAAAAGTATAGTATATTTCAACTTCAATTTTCATAAATTGGCCAAAATTCGCCAGTTCTAATTTTAACAGATATTAATTAATAAATGATTAAGGATTATAATAAACTAAGTAATTTTAGGGTTAACGAGGGTTAACTATTGGAAAAATGAATCCAAAATCTGAGTATTTTTCAGTTTTACGCTGACTTAGCTTTATAGTCGAACCAGTCAATCTTTAGACAAAATTATAATGAACACAGAAGTAATTTTACCATAAATATTTTACGGAATCCGTTCCTGAAATATACAAATAATAACATACCAAAAGCCCGGAAAAATCTAATCAGGGGAACATTGTTCATTATAAAGATATTTAATGGGTTAAAATCAAACGTTTTATTGCACAACTGCTCTGCTGGAAGCGTATAAAATGCATGTCGTTGCCAAGTTGTTGCTAACGAAAAAATGTGAATTATAGGGTAATACGCCCGCGCGCGATTCAAAAGCGGGGAACACATAGGTTTGTCGCGTCAAAAGGATCTGTTGCCGAGTGATCTCCTTCTCAATAATACCTCCATGGTAAATGTATCCATCAATTGTTTTATTCCAAATATTCATAATTATTTATGCATGTTTATATATATTAATAGTTTTCATTTTTTAATGATTAATTTATATTGGAAAAGTTGGGCGATTGACTTGATTGACATAATTTGTTTACAGTGTATTTATGTAAATAATTATGCTTTTTTCGTTTATTTATCTTTTCTTTCAAGGGAGGTGACATCAAAATTAAAGCAGTTTGCTATTGATAAAAGAATGAAAAGCAAAGATGAGAAGGTATCTACTGTAATAATATTTCATTACAAGCCATATTTAATCATATTTCACATTTTCACCACATGTATTACAACTGCAGTAAAAACATTGATTGATTATTTTTACTCTATTTTAGACAAGTATGAGAGATCTGTCAGTGATGCTGAAGAAGATGCCTCAGTATCAGAAAGAATTACGAGTGGTAAGATACTTAAAGCACTAGGAACTGTAGCTTTTTGACTAAGAAGTTTATCTTGCAGTTATATGGTCCTTTATTCGAAATCCTTTGGAATATCAAGATTTTTTGCTCATAATTAAAGCAACTATACTTCCTAAGTCTCATAGGCATACTTGCATTTAGATATGATTTAAAAGCAGACCTAGTGCATTAGTCTCAACTTATTACAAATCACCATATATATCATACACAGTTTTATATAAGGGCCTACAATATAAATTGCTTTTCCATCTTTGCAATTAAAGTTTATAATCTTTACATTATTAATATTGTTATTATTATTAAGTATGTAGCCTATTGTTAAATTAATTATTCATGTTACCTTATTAGTATTCAACTCAGTTGCGATTGGCTGAAGACTGCATGACAAAGTTCAAAGGTAATGTGGAGAAGCTGTGCCGTGTTGAGCAGGACCTAGCCATGGGAACTGATTCGGAAGGAGAGAGAATCCGAGATCATATGAGGAGCATCGTTCCGATTTTACTGGATCAGAACATCACTCCCATGGACAAGATTCGCATAATCTTGCTCTACATTATTGGCAAGAATGGTGGGTACAATATTTCCAGAGACTTATAATTTATCCTGAAGTTTGAATTTTAATCCACTCCAATCCAAATTTAGTCTTACGTGCAATACAGTTTAGTCTCTATTGTGTCTCATGTTTTGATATTTTGTGAAAAAAGCATTTTAAGTTTTGAATTGCTGTCAGTAAATTACACATCTCTGCTAGAAAAATTCATGTTTAAATACAAAAAAAAAGAGAAGTGTACAAAACAGTGGTTGAATACATTTATTTCTAAATACAAAAAATTGATTATGGATTGAGTAATAAGACACAATTACCAACTTAGTATATTGTTATTACAGGTCACCTTCCAATTACAGACCACTTTTGAGACGGGCTTTCCATGATCTTTAGCAGTTTTGGTCTCTAAATAGAATAATAAAGATAAAAGACATTTGTTAATATGGGATAACAGAAAAGTGGTCTTAAAATAGAGGTGGTGTTTAATTTTAGGGGTTTTTAATTATAGGTAGATCTATATGTTACAAAGACTACAATAACAAAATGGATGCACATACAAAACAATAAAACACTTTCCAACTCATTACTGTCACTAATAATGAACAGTTCTACTTTTGACCTTGTACAAAATATTGTGATCTGTTCATCCACTTAAATGCTCTTTGTTACTAACTCAGAAACATATGGCCAATATACTCTCACATTTGCTGCTAAAGTTCTGTAAAAATAAACAATATATTGTAGCTCCTATGGTATCCTCTACTTCTGTCACAACCTTCAAATCAGCTTTTAAATACACACCTGTTGGACACCTAGCCATTTAAACATACACAGGATCTTTGGTTTTTTATTGGACCATTATATATAGTTAATATTGCCTAACAAAACAAATGCATCATGAATTTTTTTTTATTTATTGTGTCCAGGAATTAGTGAGGAGAACTTAGCCAAGTTAATACAACATGCACAGATCCCTGACCCAGAGAAAAATATTGTGACTAACATGAAGCGTTTGGGTGTGCAGGTCATTTATGATGTAAGTGTGACAACTTTAAAAAAACAATGAAGTTAAATGCCCACGTGGATGTTACCGAAGAATACCGAAATTTAGTGTGTTTTTGAAAGATTCATCTTTATTCATCATTTATCTATTACATAAACAGTAATATAATGCTATTTAAATTTATGAAAATGTGGTTTAAAACATACAGTTTTATTCATGTTAATTAGCAAATTGTTGTTTATCTGTTTACAGCCAAAATTCCGAAAGCCTAAATCGATAGAACGAAAGGAACGTGTTTCGGAACATACTTATCAACTTTCACGTTGGTCACCTTTAATTAAAGATGTGATGGAGGTAAGTCACGGTCTTACTAGCGTGGAAAGCTGGTCACAGTTTTTCTTATAGTGTAATAATATACTATACACAGCACATTACACAGTTTGTTTTACTTACAAACATGTTGTTTTTCCAGGATGCATGCTCCGATAAATTGGACCAGAGAATGTTCCCATACCTATCAGGGAAACCAGCATCATCAAGTCACAGTTCGTCTGGTACTAGAAGGTGAGCTGATTAATTTTAATTCAATTTCAAAAGGCTCTATTGCCCCACAAATTGATGATGGTGGTAATGGTGGTGGTAAGGGTTTATCGTTGCCATGATGCTGGTGGTGGTGGGATGATGGTGATTAGATGGAGAAGGCAGCCAAGGTGGTAATGGTGGTGGTGCTAAAATCATAGTGGTGTTGTACGAAGATGGTACTGAAGATGACAGTTGTACTAAGAAAATGAAAACTTGATGATGATGATGAGGAATACTCAGGGAGGGGGTTACTCTCTCCTGTTGGACAACCAATCCCCTTCATCTAAAGCTACTTGGGGTCATTGGACTAAAGTTATTGTGATGCTGATCTAACCATGGAGGTATAATCTAACAAAGTTATTGTGATTGTAGTCCCTAATACAGTATTAGTGTCTAAACTTATTACCAGACCAGACTGAAATAATACTCCAGATCCAACCAGGGTTTTTATTTTGTGACTGACAGAGGCCTTAGACAGCCTTGCTTTGGACCTTGTTTTGGACCCCTGTCTGCAGTTTCTCAAGCCCACAATGATGGATAGGATTATGAAGATGATAATGTAGATGGTAATGATTGTCGTTTTTTGAGAATTCATACAACATTCAACTATTTATTTTTAACAGTGCAAGATACGGGCACTGGTCAAAGGGCCCAAGTCGTTCAGAGCATCGCAGTGGACCACGTCTTATTGTATTCATGCTGGGCGGCATGACATACTCTGAAATGCGTTCTGCGTATGAAGTCTGTAAAGACAGCCAGTTCAGCTCCTGGGAAATCTACATCGGTAAGTCATGTTAAGGATTATTCACAAAATGCCACTAAACTTCTTTTCCATTCAAACCAACTAAAGTATGAGCGTCTAGCGGCTTATTTTCAACAAATTCTAATTGCGGGGGGAGGGGGGAGACACCCCCAGCCAGCACCTGCGGCGCTCAGATAACACTATAGACGCGCCAAAGTAAACCTCTTTTCGTGGCCCTTCAAATTTATTCTATCAACAGTTGTGGCCCCTACTGCGATATAGTTGAGAACCCCTGATCTAAGCTAAAGCTCCACTTACTATCTGTATTGTTCATAAAGTAGTTTTCTTGTCAGTGATCCCATGCTAAACATTATTCACTGGATTTTTTTCAGGTTCAACGCACATGATCACCCCAGAGAACTTTCTGTCAGATCTGCGTGATCTGAGTAACAGCTGAACATTGACACATCATCAACCACTATGATCGCTGATTTCTGACCAATCATCTTTGTTGGTTTTCTAAATATCTTACTCTTTCTAATCATCCACCAATCTGAAAGTCATGTGCCACCTAGCTATTGGTTTATCTTATGCATTATTATACATATATATATATATATAATAAAAATATATACACATTTATTTATGAATTTATTGTTTCTTACTATAGTATTTCCAATGATAACATTTGAAATTTAATGTTTGTTTTCATAATTCCTTTTCACCATTCCAGTTTTTGATTTATTGTATATGTTTTATTACTATGGATGATTAGTTTAGTTGACTGTTCGTTATGACACTTATATGACTTCATAGTAATTAATTAATTATATATCTTTGCTATAGTATTAAAATGTTTAAATCTTAAATACCAAATACTACAAAAAAACGAATATCTGTTATTGAGACAATTGGTATTTTAGCCATTTTGTGTCCTGCCATTAAAAGTGTCATTACAAGATACATTATGTTGAAACTGAATGATAGCCATTTTGAGTCCAGTAGCAAACTTTCATTGGATTGTCTCTACACTACATTTACCATTATATTCAAATAATATTATGAATAATATTTTGATTGTTGTAGACATGCAGTTATAGCTGAACAACTGTTATTAGGCCTATGATTTTAGACTCAAATTTATAAACTGAATGTGCAATAGTCTTCTAATACAATTTAGGTAAGGGATTTTCTGTAGCACTATCAATTATTCATTGTTTATTGTAATCAGATTTGTTCATAAATGTGAAAAAAACTGCTGAAAATCAGATTTTCCCCTTGCGGATAAAAACAAAATCTTGGGAGAAAATTGTACTAATTGTGGTCTTGTTTCTTTTTGTGGCAAGGTTCTTGTTTATTATATGCAACATAAATAATTGGGGATCAGTCTCTAGTACTTGTATGCCAGTACGTGTGTAAGGTAAACTGCTGTAGTTTATACGTATCCCGATTTTAAAGGGTTAAAAAAATTGAACTTTTGCTGTTTTTACCTTTTTGCTGATTAAATTCAGACAAACATTGTGAGCTGCAGATGATTAGAGTCTGTGCTGCTGTTTAATTCTTTGAATTTTAGTATTGCAATAAAATCAAGTAAAAATATATAAACATTGATATGTACTAGGTATACTGGTTTTTCACCTTAACCAGATCCACATGATAAGTCTTATATTTTTCTGATGAAAATATTGATGTGTTCAAATGCGATTACCGAGACAGAAGCTCATGTTGAATAGTTGTGGATATTTTTAAAGTGGTAGTACCACATGGTCATATCATCATTTAGGGTAAGCCAACGTTTAATCAACTTTAGAGAATACAAACATCCTGAAGTCTGTCTCTCTCTGATTAGTTAACACTAGAAATGACAACTTGACTGCAACAGAAAAAATAATTGACCATCATTTCTGTATGCACTCTGGTAGGGAAAATTGTGCATGAATGCTCATCACCTTTACTGAAGTAAATCACCATTTTATGGGTGTTTTGCATATCCACCCAGCATGAAAAAAATGTATACATGCAACTTTTGATGGGGCAAGGGAGAAGATGAACAACATCTGTGTGTATAGGTGCCGCAGCAGCATCACATCAATTATAATGAAATGTCAACCCCAGTCATGAGTCAAACATTAAATTTTTGAAAATTCAGTAATAATAATCAGATAGTTGTTAGATAATTTATTATCAGATGAACATTATAATTCAGTGCTGCAGAAAGATAGCCATAGCGTGTAAAAAATATCATGCAGGGATGATTAAGAATTCATCATATAAGTGTACTTTGTGACAGGTTGAAAGCTTCTTGCAGAAGTCGTGGAATTTTTATTTGTATTCGAGCAATACTTTATGAATGATGTTGAACTTGTTCTTAATATTTTTCAGGGCTTGCTAATATTATTGTCTCTCCTGTAATACCAGTGTATATAAATATCTAAACATAGAATAAACCTAGTGTATACTTATTATACTGTGTACTTGTAACAATATAGTTTCAGAATGATTTTCATTGTTTTCAGCATCTTTAAAGCTTCATCTATTTTATATTTTGTTCGTAAAGAGTGCATGAATTTTTTTTTATTAATACCACTATCTAAACATTTATTTATTTTAAAATTTATCAGAATTGTAGTATTTTTCAGAAATTTTAAATTTTGAATTTCTTGTACAACCATCTAGAAATACTTTTGAATTTATTCCTATTAAAAAATATTCATTTTGGAATTAATGTTTCAAATAATTAGATAACATAATTGTTTAGAACACAATGTTTTTAAAGTTAAAATTACCAGTATTTGTTTCATGTATATTTTGATTAGAGGAACAATCTATTGTAGAAAAAAGTGTTTGATATTTATTAGAATTTAGAGAACACAGTAAATGACAACTGAACATTTATTAAGATAAAGGTTGACATGGACCATCACCAATTTAACGTTAGTGTTAGTTACTAATTTAATTTGATACATAATATAAGGTATTATGCATAATTCTTATCCTGGAAAGGATTCTGTTCAATATATATGTATATATTTGTTTATTAATCAAATTACAAACAAATAATAACATATTTTTTTGTGTTCAGGCATCCTGTGTTTCCAAATAGCCTTGATTGCAAATCAAGCAAAATTGAAATTCAGACAAAAATTCAGGTGTCTGAATATGCAAGTCAGTATATTTGAATAACTGAATATGCAGATTGAGAAGTTTATGATGTTAAATATTCATTAAATATGCTGAGTATGTAAAGTGAAAGAATGTTGAGAAAGGTTGTTTACAATATTGATCTATGATTAAAAACTTGAATAAGAATTATAAACATTGTTTTGAATTGGTAGTACCAAGTATAGTCTTCAAGTTGAAATATTTAATTAGAATTTGAATAATTTGTTATTTTAATTGAAAATTGTTGCTAACTGTAATACAGATTGAATATGTATGGTCTTAGACATCTAAACATGAAGACTTTGTTGTTGTTAGAACCATGTGTGATGTAGCAACTGATTTAGTTTACCTTAGTGTTCAGTGCTGGAAAAAATAAAGTATTCTTTTTTCATATTATCCATATCAAAAGCTCTATTCAACCTCAATGGTTGCTTTGTGCGTAAGTAAAATTTTTCCGCAATAGTGGAGTGTGATTATATCAAAAATGGTGCATTTTGAGGTTTAAAGAAAACTAAAGCTACTGTGTACATGTTTGCTTCTTGTCAAAATAGCCTACTATTATGCCACACCAATAAGCCAATCGTAATTTATTGCAAGCTAGTGAAATATTAATAGGAATTTATGTATCTTAATTATGAATACAGAATATGTTGTTGAATAAGGATAGGAAAACTCAATACATAATGAATAGTATTTGTGAAAGATGTAATGATTTAAGTAATGAACAAATTGAGTGTAAGTACTTAATATGCAGATTGCTATTAATAAATGTAGGTCATTGAACTATAATTGATTTGGTTTGTTTATTCTTCTATAGAATCCTAATCATGTTTAATTAAATTTATTTATTTTATAATAATTTATTTGCATAGTTCAACACATCATGCACCACTGTGGCTAGTTTTTAAAAAGCAACACATTTCACTACAGTATATGAAAACTCTACTGGTGCATATAACAGTGGCAGTGCCGGCTAGGGGTCAGAGAGAAGCAAAGGAGGGGGAGGCGTATAAACTATTTTCACTCAGTTTTGTAATATTCAAAATTTGGTAGTCTTGGCTACTTTTAGTGTCTTAAAATATTATTTGAATATTCAGATATCAAATGTTTGTTTTTCCACTGATCGTGGCATTAAATGATGGGGTTACAAAGAGAGACCATGCATCATACATTACATCATTAGAAAAGGACAGGGACATCCTGACAAATTTTTTTGGTAGTCCACATCCATGTCAGCTCCATGCCATGGACGGGGCTGAGGTGAGCAAATTGTAAGTTCTGCCACTTTCTTTTCAACCTCTTTTTTTTTGTTTTTTGGCTGGAGTGGGTGAACCCCCTAAAATGAGAGAAAAAATGTATATGTATTTTCTACATATATATTAGTAGACTCCAAAATTGATTAAATTAGCTTTTGAAACCCCTAAATTTTCAAATTTTTTGGTGGCTTCGCCCCCCTGGAACACTTTCGAGAGATTTTCAGCTACACCCGGCCACTTCCATTCCTTTTTGTCGGGGACATTGGACTCTGTCGGGGACCTCGGACCCCTTGTCGGGAAAATCCTGGCCCCAGCACTGCCTTGACCCCTAGCATCCGGATCGGGAACTAACTGTAGTAGCACCTAGTGTGAGAATACCCGATCGGTTAGCGTGGATCCGGATACGTTAACGGTTAACAAGCGTTATCGGTTAGCAAGTTGAGCGGGATTTTCTTGTATGAATGCACTGGTAACTGCGTATGATTTTAATCCGGATCCTGCTTAACCGTTATCACTGGCTCCACCCCTGCTTAACGAAGTGCATTTTTCCAACTTGGGACCTCTGCAAAATATCTTTGTTGTAATATAAATGCTAAGTTTTAATTATTATTTTGAGGTATATTTATTAAAAATTCAACATCAAAAACATACATAGCAGCAACAAAGGCTGAATTGCGTATAAATTAAGAAGTAAGAATAAAATATATATTATATAATATTAAAAAGGTAGACAAAATAAAAAGACAAAGACAAAATAAATACCAATATCAAAATACGAGATAACCACGGAAGGAGCATTTGTAAAACGACCGGACAGTAAAGGGAGGGGAAAATAAATCAATCAACTGGAGGGGGAAATTTTGAGTTTAACTTTTATTTATTATGTAAGCCAAAAATGGGATCGGGCTTGTTTGGAATCGTTTGGTTACCGTTAATTAATTAATTAATTAATTAATTAATTAATTACGTTTCCTTTATTTAAATAAGCCTGCTTCTTCATATCCGGAATAAAGAAGAGTCCCCCTAGTTATTTTTGTTTTCAATACTAGGTCTATAGTGATAATCTTATATTTCTATTTGCCCTAAAATACCACCAAAATCATGTGTAAAAAAAACTAGAACGTACCCTTTCCCTTTCAAACTTAAGGACAAGAAAATGTAGATCCAGGTCTTCTAATACTGTTTTGATTGATCGAGACATTTTTGTTTTCGTTTTTGTTGTTTTTTGTTTTTGTTTTGTTTTTGTTTTGTTTTTGTTATTAATTTTATCACTAAGATAATCACATGTCGAATATGCTTTGTTACGCGCGATTTTCCACTAGGCTCATTCCCACAGCCGTTGATTTTTTCCCACTTAACCCGATGTCAAAGGTCATGAAAGCACCGAATGATAAAAGAACCATACGTAATGATGAAAGGGCCGAAAGGTAAAAGCACCAAATGATAAAAGAGCCGAAGTGCGGCAAAAGCACTGAACGTAATGTTAAAAGCACCGAGCGTAATGTTAAAAGCACCGAACGTAATGTAAAAGCACCGAACGTAATGTAAAAGCACCGAACGTAATGTAAAAAGCACCGAACGTAATGTAAAAAGCACCGAACGTAATGTAAAAGCACCGAACGTAATGTTAAAAGCACCGAACGTAATGTAAAAGCACCAAGCACCAAACGTAATGTAAAAGCACCGAACGTAATGTTAAAAGCACCGAACGTAATGTAAAAAGCACCAAACGTAATGTAAAAGCACCGAACGTAATGTAAAAGCACCGAACGTAATGTTAAAAGGGCCGAATAGCAAATGCGCCGAACGGAAAAGAGCCACCAAAGGCAGTAACGGCGTTCCATAATATGGCGCCCACACACTGTGACAGAAAACCGATCGATTTCAGCGGCGCTATACAATCTTTGCTGCGGGATGATTGACGAGAAGTATCCTAGGTGGATGTCTACTTTAGCTTTTAGCCTGATACTTCCTTAAAAAGTCATTACCATAATTATTTTTTTAAAACGTAAGTTACTAGATGATTGTTTGTCTAACTCCATATATATTTTCGTTAATTGTTTTTACTGTATTGTTTTTCTCGATTTTGATTTACAAAAGTTAAGCCTAGCCTAGGCCTAGGCCTATTCCCTGTCGCGCAGCAGCTGTAGGCTGCATCATTTTGTGGGTGAGGAGTGTGACTCAACCAAATCAGCCTTTGTATTTTTCCATCGATTACGTCCTACCTTAGTAGTAGGAGGAGACAGATCAACTAAGTATCATTGGCGATGGTTCCAGCTCAAGTAGGGTTTTGAACAATGGCGTAACTAAAAGTCAAAGGACACAGGGCAAAAAAAAAGTGGGGAAAGAAAGTGTTGGGGGCCCAGTCAGGTGTTACGAATACGAACGTAGGAATTAGGCCCATAACGGCCGCAAAAGTAGTTAAATGGTTTGCATAGAGATATAATATATGATGGTTTGGCATAGGCCTAGGTCAAGTCAAGCGTACAAAACTTGCTTTATTCTCCCAAGAGTCTCATTGGACCCTACTTGTGAGAATGTTTCTCACTGAATTAATACTAGGCAACTTAGTACTGGCAGCTTGATACTTATTTAAAGCAATGTATTTCCATTCATGCCTAGATTTAATTATTAATTAATTATTTAAATACGGTAACCAATCAATCACTTTTATCTGGAACGTACAGTATAATCATCTTGCAATAGGCACGCTTGTTTAATCGTACATATATAATTATAATGCAGGATAATTTGATTATATTATATACTTTATTCTAAGATACAAA